ACATATCAGTTATAATCTGTTTCTGGGGTGGTTATTCTGTTTTACTATCTTTCTTTGGAGCCCTGGTGGCGTAGTGGTTATGATCTCAGCTGCTAACCAAAAGGTTTGCAGTTCAAATACACCAGCAGCTCTACTCTGTCCTATACGCTCACTATGAGTCAGAACCAACTCGATGGCACCTAACAACATCTTTAAGGCCGTGAGAAGCCTGCACTTCTGACTAAAGATTCTGGTCTTCCCTGGTAGCACAGTGGTTAAGAGCTCAGCTGCTAACCAATAAGGTTGGCAGTTCAAATCTACCAGCTGCTCCTTGGAAACCCTATGGGGCAGTTCTACTCTGTCTTATAAGGTTGCTATGAGTTGGAATCGACTTGACGGCAATGGGTTTGGTTTTCTGAGGTCTAATGTACTTCACACTTCCCCATTATAGTTTTAAACGGATAGACCAGCCAACGTCATTTACTTTGCAGTGACTTCATGGAAAGTGACTAGTAAGAATTATTTTTTAGACGCAAAGTTACTTTTTCTGATTACATGAGTAACACAGCTCACTGTGGAACTTGAAAAATCCAGAAAAGCATAAGGACGTCCAACCACCCAGTACTAACCTACTCTCAGGCTTTAACCTGGGTATACACATATTTAAAACAAAATTTGGAACTGATTGTATCTTATAGTCTAGTTTTTAATGTTTCTTCTTCAATACTCTTTTAAAATAACTACACAGGATTATAACATATGAACGTGACAAGTTAACCACCCTCCTTGTGGGCTGAATGTTGTGCATTTGTACTCTTCTAAGTCTTAAAATACATCTCCCACTAGTTCCCTGGGACAAAACTCCCAGAGGTGGAAATCCTGGGTCAAAAGGTAAGAACATTTAAGATTAAGACTTTTGATACACTTGTTGTCATGGTTTGAATTGTGTTCCCCCAAAATGTGTCAACTTGGCTAGCCCATGATTCTCAGTATTGTGTGACTGTATACCATTCTGTCATCTGATGTCATTTTCCTCTGTGTTGTAAATCCTACCTCTGTGTTGTTAATGAGGTAGGATTAGCTGCAGTTACGTTGGTGAGGGAGGACAAGATTAGGTTGTGTCTTAAGTCAGTCTCTTTTGAGACATAAAAGAGAGGCGAGAGCAGAGACATGGAGACCTTATGCCACCAAGAAACAAGAGCCAGGAGAACAGCGTAGTGTCCTTTGGACCCGGGGTCCCTGGACTGAGAGGCTCCTCAACTGGGGAAGACTGATGACAAGGATCTTCCTCTAGAGCCGACAGGGAGAGAAAGCCTTGCCCTGAAACTGGCACCTGAATTTGGACTTCTAGCCTCCCAAACTATGAGAAATAAACTAGTTTGTTAAAGCCATCCACTTGTGGTATTTCTGTTATAGCGGCACTAGGTAACCAAGACACCTGTCAAACTGGAAAGGTTGTCCCAATTTGTGTAGACTCTCTCTAGTAGTGGAGGAAAGGGCCCACCACCCCCTGCGTTCTTTGGAGGGGAAGAACTTTCTCACTGTCCACCCTGGGCAACGACTGTAGAAAGACAGGTGTGTCCTTGAGGATGACTCACGTCTGTGAGCCAATGATGGTCTCAGGATATTTTAATGTGATTGCAGAAGGAGAAAGGGCTGCTTAGAGTTAACAGATTCTTAAGAATCAACATAAAGTTTTTCTGGACAGAGAACACTAAGTACAGCAAGGGAAGTAATTTTTTTTTAAGCAGAAGTTCTCTCTAGACAAGGTCTGGCTGTCTGGGGCTAGCATGATGCCCTTTAGATCTTCTGGCAGAGAATCAAGGCAGCCCAAGTCAGAAATGAAGTCAGTAGTAAACACACCACCCACGCGCCTCAGCCCTGACTCTGGGCACCTTGGGCCTACAGAGGGCATCTGCCAACTTCTACTTCCCGCAACCACAGGCGGACGCAGAACCTCGCTGCCATTCTCCTGAGAGACTAAAGCACTTGCAGGGTAAGGTACTGGGGTGGTGGGAGGGAGCGCTTCATGCCAATTATTCATCTTATTTATAAACTTTTAGAAAGGGCAAATTGTGGGAAATTCTTTGCTACAATCACTAAAATGTCCTGAGACAATGTCTTAGTGCAAAACGGGAGCTGGAAAGCGGCCATGCAATTCAACCAACCCCAAACACCTTCTGCTGGAATAAAAGTTGCAGCCAAGCCAAGAGAACTCTAAATCATACTTCACTGAAGAAAATGTGATTTCAAAAGTACTCCGGGGGGTCAGTGCACAGTGGTAGTGATGGGGACCTTGCGGGGGTACTCACTGTGCAGCTGGGCACAGGCCTTTCTCTCCTCTCCTCTCTATGGAATTATCACCCCCTTTCAAGATAGAAAAGATCAGGAAATCTGCCCACAGTCCACCCCGGCAAAGGCAGGAGGCAGGAACACAAGTGCCACACTCTACAGACCCCAGCTGACTTTCATATTTCCTTGAGCTGCAGTATCCACACACATTTCCTTTGTACCTACCCTCAGAGGGGAAAAAGGCACCTGGCCTGTTCCGCTGAGTCACAGAAGCTGTGTTGGGCAGAGAGGGGCAGGCTGCCTCAGAGAGGCTGACTGTGAAATAAACACGGACACCATTTTGTAATCAATGATTTTTATCTTTGAAAATGGAAGCAAGTGTTTTGACAGAGTTAACGATGGCCGCTCTATAAGAGCCGATCTAGGAGTTTAATTCACTGGTTCTCCTCTGGGATAGCACGGCTTTAAAACACACACACACACACACACACACACATACACAAGACAAAACAGGAAAGAAAAAACCCACAATGCTTCAGGCACCGATCTGAGCCTGGCTGGGTATCCATTCATTAAATAACTCACAGGCTGCAAACTAAGACCAAGGTGACTCTCCTCACCCTCCCTCTTCTCGGTGAAGCACATTCCGTATGGTGTGTCACCACCATCGACAACAATTCCGTTTACTTAATTAAAGTGAGATCAGAACCTTAAAACTTTTCTGAATCTTAAACACGAAGGTCCTCAGCAGATTACGCTGATAAAGAAACATGTACAGGTTTGAATATAAGTCACCATAATTACTGTTTCCTTCACAGCTCATTAGCCACTTCAATATTAAAAAGACACACATACACACACACACACACACACAACCCTACCAAACGTTCAGATGCCATGAAATTGTGGAGACAGCAATCCCAGTATCGGTTAAACACATGGTACCTTTTCTACACGGACATTAACCCCAGTGCTGCTGACCACTATGCTAACCCACCGCAATACCCAGCCTTCATCCTGACTCCCTGCACAAATGCTTCCAGCCAGCCCTGTCCCCACACCAGCACAAGCATGTGCAGAAGAGTCCCTCATGGTCCCAATGGCACTAGACAACTCTCGTTCAATCACTCAGCCCTTACATCTCGTTTCTCAAGCATTAGATATGAGAAAGCTGGAGATCAGGGGAAATTCAGCTAACCCGGGAATGGACAGGCAGTCAGAGCTCAGTCTCTGGCCCTGCAGGCTGGGAGTCTCTGGGAGACCTGGAAGGCAGAGCAGGTGAGTTTGTGCAGTGGGAACAAAGGGACATGTTTTTACACGTTAAAGCTGCAGCAAAGGTCTGCGCTCCAGGTCTTGCTTCTTTCTACACCATTCTCCCCAGTCTCAATATTCAATAGCACCCTCTGGGCTCATCCAGCTGAATGTGAATTAGGGCTGACAGGCAGGAAGGAGAAGGAACGACTGGAGGGAGCCCTGAGAGAGGTTGTGCATACGTGAGGAAGAGGCAAGAACAGGGAGCTGTTTGGGTTAAGGGAGAACCACTTCTTCCTCCAGGACAGCACGGGGACAGCAAGGGACATGCAGGAAACAGAGGATCACCCTGGGCCAACGCGCCCCCTCCAGGCGCTTGGTTTCGAGTCTCCGCCCCTGTACTCAAGAGCTAGGCAAGCTGCTGAAAAGGGCAAGAAGGAACACGGGACACCACGTGTGTGTCGTCTTGTCCCGGGCACCCTTGTCAAGTATTGACCAGAACCTGAAACACGATGTTTAACGTGCTGAAGGCAATCGATTCTATGTGTATAACAAAACTGCAGAAACACGTGCTAATTTGGGTTAGATTATAATCATCTGAAGTACAGGATAACCAAGAAGCAAAATTCCATTCTGGTACAACCACCCAATTTCTAGAAAAGAGAAAGGAAAGAAGGAAGAGAGACAATACGAACTTTTTTGATCAGAAGACTCAATGAAATGAGGGGGTGGTGATATGGATCCACGTGATTTTTCAAATCTTCCTTTTGTTCCGGCATGAAGATGACCAGGCTTGTGCTGCAATGGAAGCAGCACCACGACGCGGCGACTGCTCTGATTGTTCTCAGAAGAATGTTTATACAAAATAATATCTTCATTTAGTTTATAAACGTACACAGTGCTGTCCCTTTCAAATTAAGAAAAAAATAAAACCACACACAAATACTGCAAAGTAGCAAAATACAAATGAAAAAAAAAAAAAAAATAGCCAATAGAATTCAGCATCCTATCTGTTCTGTAAGCCTTCACCTGAAGTACAATAAAATATTAAATACAAAAAAAAAAAAAAAAAAAAAAAAGCTACTTTTGGTTTTGGCAACATTAAAAAAAAAAGAAAGAAATACAAAAAGCAATGTGGCATTGGTCCCTATTCGTAAAAAAAGGGTACTTGGGCAAGACACTGAATCAGCCTTGGTTTGTTTTCTAAAATTCAGAACATCTGGGATTTTTGTCTTTTAAAAGTTCAACAAGTCACACGTAACACTTAAAACATCAAAAAAGCTTTTTGAGAAAAAGCTCAGCTTTTAAATTACGTTTTGTTTCTGCAAATTGGGGAGACGAATTGGGCTCTCATTGGAATGTGGCTTATCGCTGGTTGACAAATCTGAGGTGGAACATCTCCAATGGCAGTGTCGCCCTGTCCCTCCCAAGGACCACACCAACAACCAGCTACCAAGCGCAAGTCCTTGCTCCCATGTCTGGAAGGGTGGGGTGGGACCTTCAGGCTGCTATCTTCGCCATCTGCTGTTCTAACTTGGAAATGCGCTCGTCTTGATTGCAGATTGTGTCTTTTATAGATTTGATCTCTTTTAAAATCTCATCCAGCTTGGCTTCATTTTGCTAAGAAAACAAACAAAAGTGGGGCAGGGGGTGGGGTGGGGTGGGAGATGACTTAGAAGCAGTAAACCAGTTTAACACAGTTGAGAATTTACAAGGCATACAATATAATTTTCTATTCTGGAAATGGCAAAACCTATTGCATCGGATTTAAAAAAACAAAAACAAAAACAAAAAACCCCGGCTGCATCTGCTCCTTATGTGGATTCGATTACTGCTGTTCAATCCATGTTAACGCCCGCAGCAAACAACACTGCATCACTCTGCTACTTCTGGTCCCGTGGCCTGCACGCTGCCCACAACAGGGTCCCTCAGGCCACCACAGAGCCGGAGGGAAGACTGAGTCCTTCCAGGCTGCCCTCTACCCCAACCCCCTCCCATCACTCATCTCCAACAGGAGGATCCTCATCTGCCCAGGGTGAAGGGTGACTCCTTCCAGAAGCCAGAGAACTCTTGCCGTGCCCTCAGGGGTCCTTCATGAGAGATAAGTCCCCTGCCCTGCCTGCCCCGACCCACAGCTGACTCTTCTCTTCCCTGCATCTGTGACCCTGCACTCTCACCATGTTGTAAGTCTAAACCAGAGGTGGGTTTAACCATCTTTGGGGAAAGACACTCAGGAAGAAGCCAAGAGGTTGCTGTGCACACTCAGAGACAGTCATAGACTGACATCTACTCTGGTCATTATAAAAAATTGAGCTAAAGCAGCCAACCTGACCATACATTCATAACTGTCACGTGACCAAGGACTTCTTATAAGCAGTATATGCCATCATTTACTGAAAACCCACCATCTGTTAGACTTCCACAGGTGGGACATATTTGCTGATGCCCTGGACCGTAAAAGGCTTTCAAGAAGACAAATGCCAGCCAGCATCTCCCTCAAACTCAAGTCCTTACCACACTGGCCATGTCTGCAGTTTTCTTGGGGACGTTTATCAGGTCGCACTTCTTGTTTGCAGTGGGCTTGTTATCTAGAATGTTCTTCCTGACCACCTTGAGATCCCTGTTTTTGCCTGGAATGTATCCGTGCTTCAAGGAGATGAGGATTGGGTCTGCATTCTTCCCTTCAAACCACTCTTCTGCTTCCAGGGCGGCTTCTGGCCCCGCGGTGTCAGGATACAGGTCATCTTGGAAAAGGTCAGACTAGAAGAGATGTTGTGAGGAAACCCTTAGGTAAGGAAGAAGAAAGGTCTGGGATTTTTTAAAAACTTGAACTGCCTATAAAACTGGGCACTCACCTTCCTGGGAACAGTCATGATAATGGGCTCACACTTTCTCTCATGAAGTTTGAAGAATCTTCAAAGGGGACATAAAGGCAAAGTTATATTAAGTGGAACAAGAGGCTTAATAACAACTGGATTTTCTACAGTACTGTATGGGGTATGAAATGCTTCTCTGCCATCACCTCATCTGATCACCCTGGAGAGTAGGTAGAGCTTAGTGCTCACATTTTACAGATGAGAAAATAGAAGTCAAGAGTAACTATGCTGAAAGGACAAATATTGTATAATACCACTATTATAAGAACTCAAGAAAAGGTTTAAACACAGAAGAAAACATTCTTTGATGGTTACGAGGGTGGGGACAGAGGGAAAGGGGTATTCACTAACTGATAGTAGACAAGAATTATCTTTGGTGAAGGGAAAGACAGCACACACTACAGGGGAAATCAGCACAACTGGGCTAAACCAAAGCTAAGAAGTTTCCTGACTACAACCAAACACTTCAAGGGACAGAGGAGCAGGGGCGGGAGGTCTGGGGACTATGCTTTCAGGGGGCATATAGGTCAATTGGCATAACAAAGTTTATTAACAAAATGTTCTGCATCCTACTTTGGTGAGTGGCATCCGGGGTCTTAAACGCTAGTGAGCAGCCATCTAAGATGCATCAACTGGTCCCAACCCACCAGGAGTACAGGTGAATGAAGAACACCAAAGACATAAGGAAAGTATTAGCCCAAGAGACAGAAAGGGCCACATAAACCAGAGACTGCATCAGCCTGAGACCAGAAGAACTAGATAATGCCCGGCTACCACCAATGACTGCCCTGACAGGGAACACAACAGAGAGTTCCTGATGGAGGAGAAAAGTGGGGTGCAGAGCTCAAATTCTAGTAAAAAGACCAGACTTAATGGTTTGATTGAGACTGGAGGGACCCCGGAAGACATGGCCCCCCGAATCTCTGTTAGCCCAAAACTAAAACCATTCCCGAGGCCAACTCTTCAGACAAAGATTGGACTGGACTGTGGGACATAAAATGATACTCGTGAAGAGTGCGCTTCTTAGCTCAAGTAGATACATGAGACTAAATGGGAAACTCCTGTCCAGAGGCGAGATGAGAAGGCAGAGAGGGTCAGGAGCTGGTTGAATGGACACGGGAAATCAGGGGTGGAAAAGAGGAGTGTGCTGTCACAGTATAGAGAGAGCAACTAGGGTCACATAACAATGTATGTATAAATTTTTGTATGAGAGACTAACTTGAACTGTAAACTTTCACTTAAAGCACAACAACAAAATTTTTTTAAAAAGAGTAACTATGCTAGGAAATGGCAGACTGAGGACAAAAATGTCAAGTAGCGGTCTATGCATTACAGTGACAAAACCCACCGCCATCAAGCTGATTCCGACTCATAGCGACCCTATAGGACAGAGTAGAACTGCCCCATAGGGTTTCCAAGGAGCAGCTGGAGGATTCGAACTGCCAACCTTTCAGTTGGCAGCTGAGCTCTTAACCACCAAGCCACTAGGACTCCATAAATCCCGATTATCTGGGGGCAGATCAAATGTGGTGGCAATAATAACAACAATGATGGTGATTCGTGTGAAAAATTAACATGTCAACAGACAAGAGAAAACAAACACCTACTGATTAGATAGTATCTACGACTTGGATGCCAACTTCAGGTGGTTGAACGTTTGTAAGTACAAATACGACTTTTACAAAGGAAAAGAGAACAAACCCAGGAATTAAAATTTTGGCATCTGAGAAAACCACATCATGCATAAATTTGCAATTGCCACAACGTGGAAAGAGCTGGACTATAAAACAACTTGTATTGTGACATGGGAAAGGGAAATAAATAGCTTCTAATCTGGAAATGCAAAGGGATGACACTTTCTATTGCATCCTACGACAGGACTAAATCAACGAATTCAAGCCACAAAACCAGAAACCATTACTCTTACGATGATGCTGACAAGGCCATGCCAATTTTTTTCTGTCGGAATAGGGAATCACCAAGAGGTCTCTCTAAAGTTCCTGGCAGGAGAGTAAAGTACTCTGGCCAACCCACCAGATGGAAAGGCAGGAACTCAGGGGGAAGAAGTGCTGCCGGTGAGGCGTTCTCTAAATTCACGAGTTTAAGTGAGAAGAGCTACTATCATCTTAAACACCCAAGGCCAGTGGAACTTGTTCCCACTGGAAATATGTAGCCTTTGGTGTTTGAAAATGGTTAACACGATCTAGGCATGAATCTAGTCAAGCCAGCCTGATGGTTACGGACGTGCTGCTCCAATACTTCAGGGCAACAAAAGCTAAAAGTAGCTGTGGCTGGGAAAGGTGTTGTAAAACCACAGTCATGCTGTAAAGAACTGATCCTTTAAACTGGCCTATTCACTACTTCAGAAACCCTGGTGGTGTCGTGGTTAAGTGCTATGGCCGCTAACCAAAAGGTCGGCAGTTTGAATCCACCAGGCACTCCTTGGAAACTCTACGGGGCAGTTCTACTCTGTCCTATAGGGTCACTAATGAGTCGGAAGACACTCAAAGGCAACGGGTTTTTTTTTTGTTTGTTTGTTTGTTTGTTTTCGAGTTATTCACTATTTCAACCAGGAAGACTCATAAAGAAACCAGGGGTTTAATGAAAACTTTGCAGTTAGCATAGTGGTGAAAAACACTGATCTGGGTTTGACTTTCAGCTCTACTACTATAACCCTGGAGCATGTGACAACTTCACAAGCCTTGAATTCCTCATCCATAAAACGGGGATTAAAAAAACACTGACCTCATCCCGTTGTCGTACGCAGTGCCCAACGTATAATAAGCGCTCAAGACACAATAAATAGGAGGTGTCCTGAATGATCATGTGTTACAGCCTTTTAAACTTTTAGATGACATGTAAAATAAATGTGTTCACAAATACTGGATATAATCTTAATTAAATTCAGACTAAACTGATTTTTAACCATATTTTGATTAATTTGGTTTAAACTACAATTTTGGATTATCTGGAATGGTTCTCCTTCATTACTCCAGCTATTAGAGAATTGAATGTATTTAAAAACAAAACAACAACCAAAAAAAAATAGTGATTCATATTTTTAAAAGTTTGTAAGAAGTCTTTTATCTTTAAAAATATAATTATTTAATGGTGCGGCCAGAAGAGCAAACTTGACAACACAACTGTGTAAATGTGTTGTTGTTGATGTTAGATGCCTTTTAACTCAGAACTGAAGCCACTCCCAAAGCCCACTTTTCACTCAAAGATTAGACAGGTCTATAAAACAAGCAATAACATGCATGAGGAACGTGCTTCTTGGTTCAGTCATGTATACAAGACCAAAGGGCAACACCTGCCCAAAGGCAATGACAAGAAGGCAGAAGGGACAGGAAAAATGGACGGATGGAAATGGAAAATTGGAATGTGGCAGGGGAGAGTGCTGACATATCGCAGGGATTGCAACCATTATCACAAAATAATTTGTGTACAAATTGTTCAATGAGAAACTAATTTGCTCTGGGAAGTTTCATCTAAAGCACAATAAAAAAAAAAAAAAAAAAGATCTGTGGAAGAATGTTTATTGCAACCAGGTTTATAAGCTGAAAAAAATAGGTACAACCTAACTGTCCAACAATAGGAAAATGATTAAATGTAAAGGTATTTCCATCCTAAGAAATACTCTTTAGCCATTAAAAATAATGGAATAACTCTACATTTAACGACATGAAATGAAGATCCTTGAAATGATGTTGAGCTTAAAAAAAAAAAGTTCTAGTAGGTTCCCACTTTTGTATTTAAAAATGTACCACATGAGGAGGCGGGGCCAAGATGGCAGAGTAGTCAGACCCTTCCGGTTGACCCTCTTACAACAAAGACCCAAAAAAAACAAGTGATTTGATTATATATGGCAATCTGGGAACCCTGAACATCAAAGGCAGAGTTGAGGAACCGGACTGAGTGGTGGGGGAAGGAAAGACGGTTTGCAAGCAGCGAGGAGTTGCCAGACCGGACCCAGCGAGAGCCTGAGCCCTTCAGGCCTGATCGGCTCGGGGGTGAGCAGTGAGGCAGGCCAGCAGTGGTCCCTGGGAGGTGTGCTTTCTGCACTGGGAGAGACCAAATGCCAGAGTCTACACGGCCACCCAGAACAAGTGAGAAGCAGCCCTCACTGGCGAAAGATAAGTACTTGCGTATGGCCTACCGGACAGATCAAAAACAGCCCCCTTAGGGAAAAACCTCTTTCCCATTTATCTCCGCGCTCCCTGCTCTGCACTGGGTCCAGGACAAGCTTCGGCAATTGCCGAGTCCCCTGGGCTGGAAGTAGGATCCGTCACACGCCCGGAGCCATTCTCCCTGCCTTGGAGAGTGAACAGATTAACAAACGGGAAAAATAAACTACCGGCTTCCCTAAGCCAGGAACCCAGGGTAGGCACAGCTCCTTTGCCTAGGCACAGGCGTAAGGGATCCACAGACTTTGAGTGCCTTGCCCCCTGCAGAGACTTGTGTGGGCCCATCTCAACAGCGTAGGCCCTCATTACCGCAGTACACCAGGGTACTATATTGGAACTAACTTCAACTGTTTCAGCTGTGAAGTGGCGGCTTCTTGACATTTGACACTGCTCTGCCCATTAAGCAGGGTCTTCACCTACCCACATCAGGGGCCTGAGGACTGGTGGCTCCACCCATGCCACCTAGCTACCTGCGATAGGGGCCCATGATTAAGAGGAGCCCCCCAGGCCTTACCGCCAACAGCATTAAGTGCTCATAGTCCAGCTGCAAAACCCATCCACCTACAAGCTCTAAGGAACAGGGACATGCGTTCCTCCTGGACACTTTGGGGCGGCCATCAGCACCCTGCCTTGCTCAGAGTGTGTCCCCTTGCTGCAGCCAGATGCCTGTGCCTACACCAATCACTCACGCCTGTTTAGGACTGTAAGCGAGAGCCTACACCACACACTTGTTGGCTATCTACCTGGGCACCTGAGCTGAATCCATACAGGAGGAGTGGGCTGACTTCTGAGCTCACATACCTAATAACAGATCTAACCACCTGGTGACAGGACATTAGAGCTTCAAAGGTGCCAATAATCAAACTAGCTCATACGACCACCCTATTTGGATATATCAAAATAAAACAAGAAGCTAGGGCAGAGTAAGCAAACATAAAATAAATAAATATAATAACTTATTGATGGCTCAGAGACATCAGTCAATATCAAATCACATAAACAGGCAATCCATGATGGCTTCAGCAAGCTCCCAAAATAAAGAATCTAGAAATTTTCCAGAGGAGGAAAATTTCTTGGAATTACAAGAGGCAGAATAC